CAAAAAAGATTTATTAACAATCGCGTAAAAATTTACAGATAAATTAGCGCATGGTACGCTACGCGAAAAGAACGTTATCTTACACGCTATTCTTATACGTAATTCTATTAATATTTACATAAAAGAGACTTTAATGATAATATCACCGCTCTGTGCGTTTTCGCTCGATTATATATGGCTATTACATGATCGTACAAAAAAAGTACACGATACATTTTATTAAAATAATCACCCGAAAATAACCTTTTTCGTAGCATCGGCGACTGTAAGTGAATCAGTTTCCTCGAAAAGGCAACAGAATTTAAATTTTTCAGCAATAAAGAGATATATATATATATATATATATATATATATGAGAATTTATATATATTTTTTCGGGTTGCTATCATCATTATTATTAAACTTGAATGCAATATAATGACGCTTCTTTTTTATACATACAACATACATACACGCATACAAAAGTATATTTATAAGTGTGTATATATATTCATATATGTATATACTTATATACTTTTATATACTCGAACTATGATGCTCCACGAAAACGAGAATTCGAATCACATAAGATATACATATACTTAATACACGTATCTTAAGATAGATAGATCCACAGATAGATACATGCTTACAGGAATGTATATATTAGCTTAAATGCAAAATAAAATATTTGCATTGAAATACTTTACATCAAAAACTATGTCCCATATTCATTGACAGTATATTATATACGAATGATAGTATGTTTATAAATAATTGATTGAATGATTTTTCGGTAATGCTATTATTATAGCAGTTTATATCAAACTATAGAGTGTCATAAACGATCCGAGTTTTTCTCTCTTTCTATTTCTTGCTTTTGTAAAATAAAGAAAAGTAAAATTTTGTTTCCATTATATATATAATTTTTTCTATATTTTTAGATCGCTTTTAGAGACACTCATTTATGTTATGTTCATGCTACTGCAAAAACGAATGCCAGATGTATAAACCTAATTCTAACATAATACAAGATATCTGTGCATTATCATGGTTTGATATTAACAATTCCAATTCGTTTCAAGTGTCGAGAAATATTTATAGCACATCCGGTAACGATTGACATAATTCTGAATAAAACGTCATATTTCTTTATAAAAATCTATATCAATTTTGAACAAATGGCACCTTTTGTATTACTAGCTTTACTGTTATTGGATTTTAAAAATATATTTCAATAATGGATAACAATATTTATAAGAGTTTCATTAATTTATATCTAAAAATAAAAAGAAATGTACCTAATAATTAAGCGTAATGTCGGATAAAGAGAGGCGAAGAAAATATTGACGTAGGTTGTATATTTGCTATACAGTAATCAGATTCGCCGCATACAATATATATATATTGCGTCACATAATACAAATGAATACGCGTGATATACAAAGTACGATGAAGTACACTCAAATCCTAAGCTTAAATAATCCCAGACAATTCTAGAAGATTCTCTTTCTTTCTCTCTACCTCTCTCCCATCACTTACAAGATACAAATGAATGTACAAATAAGAGCGATAAAGGAAAACTAAGGATCACCTTGTATTCGATGATAAAAAAGATGCTATTGGAGCTAAAAGGGCACAATCGAAACGACTATGTTGTTTGTGTAGTGGAAAAATATGTTTTGGATGAAGAATGCAAAATGTGATTCTATTTTATTTGCACAAATACGTATGTATCAATATATACTTTGTGTAACTTTCCAATGAGATAACTATTCTCAATCTATTTGTTTCTCTCGTGAAGCTCGTAGTAAAGGTACAAAATGTCTATACTAATATATATTCTTCTCTTTGTCATCGCTCATTATCGTACAAATACGTGGCATTCCTACACGATTGATCAGTATATCGGAAAAACACCACAGACTCTAATACAATATGATTATATAAATATACAAATTTTTTTTACACATTGATTAATTGTTGGTGGTGTGCGCGTTTCTAGATAATTAGGGTTTTCAATGATTCTAGTTACTTGCGTGATAAACGCATTCACTATTCTCCATGAAGGACATGGTTTTTGTTTTTGGAACTTTCAATTTGCACACACATATGTAGTATTTATGATAATATTATTCCCAATAATAATCCTGGTAATTTTCCTGCAAGAAGTATGTAAACAGAATACCATAATTATTTGTTTGTAAAACATTCAAGATTTTTACTATTGATAAGTGCGCATTCATATCCATAAGATACTTGCTTGAACTATAACTAAATCAATATATTTTCGCCCATTATATGGCAATATATAGAAATAATTATATTACAAAATAAAGATATATAAGTGTAGTATCATCTTATCGGGCAACGATCAAAAATTGACTGAGACTACTTATGGCACTACCTATCGAAAGGTTTTTTTTTTTTTTTACATCTTAATAAAATATTAATCTTTAATACAAATTATATAAAACCATTAAAAGTCATTAATATAGAGAAATTTTTCTACATCTCTCTCATTATTATTATAAATAATAGTATTGCCATAATTATAAGCAAAAATTTGTGTCATCTATTTTGCTAGATGATAAAGTTTATTATATTTGTGAGATCAGTAACTGATTATAATATATTATGCAGTTAAATATAATCTAATTTGCTATTCAAAATTTATTATGAACGTAATATGATTTTTTAGGAATTTTCTAATTTATATAGAAGAATAGAAGTACTGTAGTTATTCTTTTTTTGTAACCTTTCTTTCACCAGTTTTTTTAGTTAATAGATATTTAACATATAATTTTGTATAACATTATATAGAATGTTAAATATGTGACGAATATATAATAATCAAGCAAACTCTGATCGCTGTCCGAAAATCATGTTGTACAAATATTATCTAAAAATTTGGAGCATTTTCTTTACTCTTAATTAATATTATACATATATAGTGGATCAAATGTTGGCTTTAACATTCACTATAAATTTCACTCATGCATCTAATACTCATCATTCCTGGAAACACTGGTTTGTCACGTCGTGCGTCGCTTAAGTCATCACTACTGGCGTCTGCTTGTACTAGTGACTAAAGATTACGTATACTTTGCAATTCTTGAGTACTACTTTTATGATTGAATATTCAATCAATTACAAAGAAAACTCTTAATAAATATTGATTATATTCTTTCTCTCTTCTGTTACTTAAAATATATTATTAATTTTTATGGCAACGCCGAGACCACAACTAAAGAACATTATAAATCATTCATCCAAGTCTGTGTTTTGGCATTTCACGTTCTTAATTATTATTTGCAAAATGTGATAAGGCTAGGAATTGTAAATTATCGTCTTCGTGACTTCCTTGTATCCAAACAGGATAAAAGACGATTTATTCTTTCCAATCCTTCTTGATTTCGAACGCCCATTCCCATTTGAGATGTTCGTGCTTGTCATCGTCTGTGAAGAGAGAACTGACACTGTAAGAACCTCGCGCTACGACGCCGGATGGCGCATCCTCGGGTGGGGTGGTATAAGATTGAAGCTCTGTTTTAGGAGGATACGAGCCTACCATATGTGTCATCTTGTCAACTGAAACAAAAGAGATTGTAGATATAAAATTTGTTCAACCATGCTTTATATAGAGGTTATTGTATATTTCATTTACCCGTAACTCCTAATTTGCATTTGAAGCATTAACAAGATATTTATGGTAATTAGAAATATGACATCAGTCAATGTTGGATTAAACACAAAATGATAAAAAGTAAAAACATACCAGGCACACCAAGGCGATACGTCTTCTGAACATATTTCAATCCATGCACAATCTCACGCTGTACAATAAAATCGATTCTGATTCTGTAGCTCACACCCTCCTTGATGACAAATATCTGTTTTTTCAATTGTGCTAAATCACCAGTCAAGTCTAACTCCATATCCGGCCGATCGGCGACACACAGCGCCAATTTCTTTACTATTACCTTTCTAGGATCATTGGGATCTAAAAAAGCATGCAAGAGATATTGTTACTATTGTGCAAATGTATTAATTTTACAAAATAGTTTTCCCTTTTTCTGCATTTTTTAAATGCTATTGCTATATATGGTTATTATTTTTATTAATAAACAAATAAAGATAAATAAAAAAAATATATATTTTAGTATTTTATACACAACCATTATGATATAATTATAAAGAATTATTTGCATAAAATTTACAAAAATTATGGGATCAAATCTTTATGGAATACAGATACTTTATACATTAATAATAGCAAAAAGTGCAAGGTAAATAATTGATATAAATAATTTCAATAAGTGATGATAAGAGCAAATCCTAAACACATTTATACATATGTAAAAGAAAAGAAACTCACCCACTACGATACCACCAGCTTTTGCTTCTCCCAGAAGCGTCTCCTTATATTTGCGTAAACTTTCATCTTCTTTGTCCGCCTCCAGGATCTGTTCGATACTCCTCTCCGGCGGAGGCTTATAATCGGACTCCAACTCCTCGTCCACCACATCTACATGATCACCCGTAGGGTCAGACATCACTATGTTCAAACCAGGAAAAATATATGTATATATATATAAACAAACTA